ATGCAAACATACAGGCAGGATGGTTATGGCCTAATAAATATGCCCACACCTTTAATTTCCTTGCCAGAACATTTTAACTGAGGTCCTGTCTATGGATTTTGCCTCCCCCGTGCAACAAACTGCAATATTCCTGGAACAATAATGTAGCCAAGAGTGATTTAAAATGCAAAGAAGTGATTTATTTGGGGAATAATGAGAAAGATCCATACAAAGCAGGAAAGTAAAAAATTAATGCTTTTAAAAACTCCCTGACGTGAGCCTTTAATTTGTCTTGATATTGTCAGTTTAGTAGAGGGGCCAGCCTCTCCTGTTGCAAATCACACGCTCAGGGTTACCAGGTCAAGAGCATTCCAAACTCTTGAGTTTCCAGGGCGCAAACCTGAAACCTAGGGGTGGCCCCTGGTGATGTCATTACGCACGACACATTAAGCAATGACAGTAACTGCTGAGAGCAAATCATTCAAATAAAAAACAAGAAGTATAAAAAATGAGCAACTATGTCACAAGATGAAAATTAAGACACAAACCTTGGCTAAAGGGATGTTCCTATGAGCCCCGTCCCTACAGAGAGCCTGGATAATAATTTGCAGTTGGCTGCAGCCGTTGTTATTACTGTTGTTGTTGTTGTTAAATGGCACTCATCCATCTGTAGATTCAAGCCCTTCACCTGCCACCTGGACCAGGAAGACAGGCAAACCTGGAGACTCTAGGTCAGTCCTGAAGATGGGGCAACCCTACCTACCCACTCCAATTAGCCCTCCAAAAACTTGGTATTTTACAAAAAGTAGTAAGCCTACCTGTGGTCATAGTTTCAAACAGCTTTCAGTCCAGCTTTTCAAAAGCTCTAAGTGGAGATTCCAAAAGAGCAATAGATCTCCCTGAGCCAAAGTTTTCTTCCATCCAGGCTCCTGACCCTCAGTTTGCTTCTCAAACAAACTTTCCTACTTTTAGGTAGAACTGCTGGGAAAGGGGGCTGATGGGAAATGGAGTTCCCGGCTCAGTGTTCTATTATGTTCTCTTGTTCTTTGCTACAGAGAGGGGGGAACTTCCTGTGATTTCAGTGCTGGTACCCAGTTCTCAGCTGTGTGGCAGCAAGGCTCAACCCACATAAAGTCCTTGTGTAAGGGAGCAGATAGATTGTTGTTAAAATTTCTATACCGCCCTTCATCCAAGGATCACAGGGCAGTTTACAATATAAAAACACACTAATGCATGGCATAGTAACTAAAAAAAACCCAGTAACTCCACACACACACACACACACACACACACACACACACACACAGTTTAAAAGGCCATAGATTGTTTAATTAAGCAAAGGCCTGGAAGAAGAGAAATGTTTTTGCCTGGCATCTAATAAGAAAGGGTACATATGTTAACTATTCTTTCCTGTAAGCTCTTTTTAAAAATAAGAAAATTAATGCAGAGCATTTTAGTAATATCACTTTGCGCAGTATAAAAGCTTATAATTAAAATATCAAAACAGCAATTGTTTTCACTGCAAGTGTACTGAAAGTCATTAGTATGATGTGACTTGTGTAATGTGCACACACTGTCAACCACAGAATTCATTCTAAATCATTCCCTGGACAGATTCTAATTAACTTTCCGAAAGAAAAAGAGAGAGAGAAAAGATTCCTGTTATAGTTAGAATGAAATTATGTAAAAACTTTCCTGGTAGGAAATTCTCTCAAACAAGGTTGAGAGCTCTCCTGATTTGTCATGAATGAAACACAATTACTCATTTCAAAATGGGAGCTTGGCTTTTATAGCTCTGTACAGAAGAGTGGAAAGCTAAAGAAACAGGTAATTAGTGAGAAAACAGAGTACTAAATTGTATTATGATTGAAATGTTTAGAATTCACTCGTAAGCAGCTCACCGGCAGAAAGATCATCTCACCGCATTGGTAAAATAAATGAGATATCAGCAAGAAAGTTACTGTCCAAGCATTCTTGATGCCCAAGTTCATTAGCATTTTCCCCTTGATCACATTATTAACAAAGTCTGGAAATGTATTAAGTCGTAATCAGAACATAATCATAAAGAACCTCCCCAAACCCAAAAGTGTTATGGCTGTTCATCTTCACATCAAAGTCCATTTCAAGCAGACATTCACTGTAAATGCACAAACTGCAAAAATAACATAAGAATATAAGAAGAGCTCGTGGATGAGGCCAAAGGGCCATCTAGTCCAGCATCCTCAGATCACTGTGGCTAACATTGTTTTGTTGTTATTATTTATTGTGACTTTTTAGTTGCTTGTTCCCCAAAGGTCTCCAAGTTACTGACAACCATGTTAAAAACACAAATACATATTTTATCATAAAGCAGAACAAGAACAAAAACAAATCATGCAGGACCTGAGTGCAATAGCACCCTCCTGATTTGTGATTTCTAGCAACTGGTTTCAGAGGCTTACTACTTCTGTGTGCAGGTGGAACACAGCCATTGAGGCTAGTAGCCACTGAGAGTCTCATCATCCATGAATTTGTTTAATTCTTCCCCAAAGCCATCTAGTATATAGATGTATTAAGCTTCTTCCAAGTGCCAAGGCTTCTTGCGAAGAACTTTAGTTAGTGAAGTGCTAAGTGTGGTTCTTGGGAGTAGTCTAGGGGATGGAAAAGTTGTTAAAACACATGGGAATATAACTACAGAATTAAAAGTGGCATCATATCCAAACAGCTTTGACTGGAGCCATGTTGATATCTTCTAGTCAATATGTGGGTGAGCAGTGGTGGTGGGATTTGGGGAGCACGACTGAAGATGCCCCACAGTGTTCATGGAAAGGTCTAAAATGAACCTCTGTTTGCCCAGCTGTGTTCTCCATATGATCAGGAAACCTGCTTTTCCTGGTCTCCTGATATTTCCCCTTGGCCTAGAAGCAGTTGAGTAATTTGGATATGCAGAGTCTTAAGGAGAAACTGAGGTCACGTTTGGTGAGGTAGTCCAAGAATAGGCATGGTCCAAGAGTAGAGTTGAGTGCTAAACTTAACCCAGCTCTGGTGCCATGGAAACCTCTGACTCCATGATCGGATCTCTGCTGGATCCAGGGGTCAAGATACCCTGATCAACACATGGAGATTGGTGGGGTGTTAGGACAAGAAGAAGCATGCCTGCTCCCCACACCTCTGCACATGAGTGTGCATGCATTTGCTGTTTGAAGAGTGTGCTTCCATAAGGGTGGACAGATCCATCATTGTTGGATTTCGGTGACCTTTGCTGGTGGCTCGCATCTCCATGACTAATTGCAATTATGATGTGTTTTTATCAGCAGACATAATCTATTGCAGCAAAATGTACTGGTTTCTATAGCCCCTAGCAATTACTTTCAGACGTATTTAATTAAAAATAGTACCACAGGATTTTTTATTCTTCTTTTTAAAGACCACTGGATAAACGCCTCATTGTTTTAGGCATGCTTCAGTCTTTACCATAAATGATGTACATACAATTACACAGCAACAGTTCATTAATTAAAACCATAATTAAAAGCACACTGCAAGAGTGTAACTTTGATTAAAATTAGCACTGCCTCTGTAATTTTATTACAGAAACATGTATCTAGAGTGACACTTGATATGTGAAATGCAAGACCAACTTTCTGAGTTTTGTGTCACTTGAGTAAACAGAAAGTATTTTACCTGATTTGTAAATGAGTCATTCAGAAAAAAGAGGCCCGCTTTGTGTTGGCATTGTTAAATTGTTTGGTTTGTGTATGATGCGAAAATGAATGTTATTTCTATGCTTTGACACTAAAATTTCCAATAATCCAAATATGAATTAAGAAGCCTATTCCACAGCTTATAAATACAGTATACACAGAGGGCTCGCCCCATGTTTTCTAGGCAGAGGTCCTCACATTAAAGTGCCAGATAGAAGCCCCCCCCCTTTTTTTGCTTTGATCCCAGCGCTTTCCCTGCAAAAACCCGCTAATGTGGAATTGGAACAAACAGCAATTCAGGTTTTCTGTGGAATTGTTTTCAGCAGTAAAGAGCAAGTTGTTGTGGCAAAAAGCATCAGGGCAAAAAAACCCCCACAAAACAAAAATGCACTCAGACACAGTAGTCTGTAGTACAGTAAAGAAGAAGAAGAAGAAGAAGAAGACGACGACAAAACAAAATTCATTTGGCCATTAAGTGCACTGAAGCTAGGCTTCCACAACTTTAAAGTTTGTAATAAAGTTCTCTTACCAGACTAAATTTTATCTGCATTACAGGTATATAAAATGCTCCATTGTCTTCTTCTGTACCTCTTAATGACATATTAAAATACAGATATAATGCTTTTCCTAAAAGGGAACACATAACCAAGCTCAAGCAAAATGCTTAAAAATCCCACAGGAAGCAGCAGCAAGGCCTTTGTGCGAGATCAGGTTGAATGCAAGCTCTTTCTAAGAGCTTAGGTAGAAATGAGGCTTGCAATTTTACTTCAGCCTACTGCCTGGGGCTCTGCACTAGGACCACAGTAACAAAATACATCCAAACCCAAATTAAACATGCAATTGGGAAGGGGGAAGATGCCCTCAGAGCTGCTTGCATGTCTTCTTCACCCTCTTCTCCACTACTCCCTTTGACAGCTGTAGATCACTCTGGGTGGACCTGATCTAAACTGGGGTGACCCAGGGCTGCTGCAGCCAAATCCTGGGTCAACCGAATTTGGTTAGATATATAGGGTTTGACCAGAGCCCTAGTATACCCTAATAACAGAGTGATTGTATGTGTGGAATCTTGAAATTATTGCCTGTGTAGATCTTTATGTAACAAAAATGGCACCATTTACACAGAAGAAGGAGATATTATCAGGCTTGGGAGGACCACATGGTTTGCAGAAGTATCCCCCCCCAAAAGAAATAAAACACCCCAAAGGGTTTACCTCCCCAAACAGGTGACTGAGGAGTGAGCATAGTTGTGGTTGCAGAATGTTGATATTCATAGAATCATAGAACTGGAATAGCCCACAAGCATCATCTTGTCGAACTCCCTGCAATGCAGAAATTGTTTGCCCAACATGGGGCTTGAACTAACAACCCTGAGATTAAGAGTCTCATGCCCTGCTGACTGAACTATCCCCAGGATAGTCTGAGTATGTGAGTATTGGATGGGTAGGAAACAAAAGAGAAAACCGGGGGGATGGGGGTAGAATGGAGCTTGCTAGAAAAGGCCTGGAACTTTGAATAGGAGCCTTCCTCACTTCAATGTTTTGTTACAGGTCCCACTTGTTCCCCTGAACACATTGTACAACCCACTGGTCCCTTTCCTTGCTATCTAGTCCCTCCTTTGCAATTGCTAGCATTGTAAGGCCCAGTTCACATGCTGAGCAGACTCCAAATTAGTGCATGAATGAGAGGCTGGGACCACTGGGGTCACCTGTGTGGAGGCACTCACTACATGAATTGGCACTTCCATGCTGAACATACACACAGTGACCACAATTACTCTGAATGGCAAATCTTCTCACTCTCTTTTGCAGCCACCCCTGAAAGAAACACTGAGATAGCAGCAAATGTTTTTCACAAACCATACTGCCTCCCATTTCAGCTCCGCCTAAGTTTGCTGACCCAAACCTGGGGCAGCACATAATAATAATAATAATAATAATAATAATAATAATAATAATAATAATATTTATACCCCTCCCATCTGGCTGGATTTCCCCAGCCACTCTGGGCGGCTTCCAACAAAACACTAAAATACAATAACCTATTAAACATTAAAAGCTTCCCTAAGCAGGGCTGCCTTCAGATGTCTTCTAAAAGTTTGGTAGTTATTTTTCTCTTTGACATCTGGTGGGAGGGCGTTCCACAGGGCGGGCGCCACTATCAAGAAGGCCCTCTGCCTGGTTCCCTGTAACTTGGCTTCTTGCAGCAAGGGAACCGCCAGAAGGCCCTCGGCGCTAGACCTCAGTATCATCTCATTTCAACACCTGAGCTGAAACAGGAAGATGCCCAAACCTCAATGAGATCTCTTGAAATCTCACCAGAAATTGCTGCATTGCAACCCTGGTGACAGGAGCAGGAGGGGTGCCCTGGGGGTCACCACCCCACCGCACAAGATTCTAGTGCGCAAGGCAGCTGCTTCAGCCCATTAATGGGTGAGCCAGCCCTGAGTCCAAAACACATGAAGACTGCTCCTTCCTGCTTCAAGAATCCAAACTAAATGCAGCATTCCTTGAAGGAGTTCCCTGGAATTCCAACTCAAGGCCATTTTCTTGGAGCAACAGTGGTGCAAGAGCCCCCATGTGCACCAAGGAAAGGTTTGGCACAAATACTTAATACATGTGCAGCTGCCCCCACCCCCGAAAAAAAGAAGAAAAAGAAGAAAAAGAAAACCTTCATCGGCAATTCATCTGAAAAACATTGGCTCAGCAGATTTGAATGCTCACTCCTGTTGTATTATTAATGGTAGCTGCTTCAAGTGTTCTTTTCCTCACATCTCTCTGGGGAAGTGGGGAAGCAAAATAACAGATTGTTAAGAGGATGAAACCAAATTAAAAAATAAAGCACATGGAAATGATTTGCTCTTGGTATGGATTCGGGAACTTAAGACAGCACATAGCAGAGCACAGCAGTAGCACTGCACTGAGTGTAAACCAGGGCAAAATTATGCCTACAACCAAATCTATTGACAGCATATTTAAGTCTCTGAACTTTTTAGCACAGATGGGCTGGATTGGCTGGAGCACTTGCATTTATGTGTGAGGGCGGGGGGGGGGGAGATTTGTAGATATGTGGCCTCTGGTGTTTGACAGATGAAAATGGCCACATTTTCTTTTTCTAAAACAAAACATTTTCTTCTAAGGTCTATATAAAAGGGGAAACTATTGCACTAATATCTAACACACATACCCATATCACTTAAATATGAAGCATTGTATAATTAATGATCCCTCTTAAAAAGGTGGATGGTTTCGTTAACAGCTGTGATGCACCCAGATAGAAAGCATTTCTGTAGCAGACCAAAGGGATGGCTATAAGTAAATGTTTACTACATTTGCCTAATTCTAGCAATTAAGCAAAGGGGCCTATCTTACTTATAAGACTGGATGCTCTCTTTGACTCAGAAGAAGCTTGTCAAATGCCATAAAAGCTGCAAACTGATGTTGGCATCACTCCAGTGTCGCTCAATGCGACTATTCATCCTTCCTTCGATAGCTGGGATGAAGCGGCAATAAGTGAAATAAGCATCAAACCTGACAGATGAAATTTTTGTATTGCCTCAGATTTAATTGGTTATCTGTTGGGCCAGTTCACGCATTCAGTTACGAGTCATGAAGAGTTCATTAATCAAATACGTGGGTCAATTGTCCCACAAAGGGACAACCTTGTCATCCTTTCCCATAGGGACGACTTTACAACAGGCTTAAATAGAACTGGCAAGGAGATTCTCAAATCATTTGCCCCAGGCTTAGAAGCCCTACTGTCTGACATCTTCACAAGTGGCCGAAAGAGTGATCATGAGAGGCAGCTGCTGCTGTTGATTATTTTAATTGCCTCAGTTTCACCCACCTCCATTCTCCTCTTCCTCTCCATTTCTTGCCTCATTATTCTCCCTTGCAGCTGGACCATTTATTGACATCTCTCCACCCTTTCTCTCCATCTTCCTTCCCTAGGTGGAACGGCCATAGCTCAGTTATAGAGTATCTGCCTTGCAAGCAGAAGATCCTGGCATCTCCAGATAGGGCTAGGAGAGGCCCGTGCCTGAAATCCTGGAGAGCTAATGCCAGTAAGTGTGGACAATACTGAGCTGGGTGGACCAATGGTCTGATTCGGTATAAGGAAGCTGCTATATTCCCTTGTCTCTTCCCTACCCACTTCATCCATTAAGTCTTCCCTTTTAACTGGGCCCACCCACTCTCCTCTTCCAGCTGAGACATCCAATTGCTTTTGCCTTCTTCTGGGTCAACGTGCACCTCCCTTTCAGTGTTAGCCCTGCAGTCATTCACACTGATGCTGATGTAAACTGTACAGATGCCCTCAATCAACACTTAATTGGCTATTAAGGAGGCTGCAGCCTCCAACCCCCAATTTCAGGTGACAGTAACACACCACATTCAACAAGTGTACAATTTGTGTACATAAGACCTGAGTTGCACAAATTAACAGGTGTACACTCTTTCACACCAAGACTTGCACATGTTATATTCTGTTTGGAAGCAACTCAGAGTGGCTGGGGCAACCCAGTCAGATGGGTGGGGCACAAGTAATTGTTGTTGTTGTTGTTGTTGTTGACAACTTAAAACCCGTGTTCAGTTTAGCATGTGAACATGCCTAGAAGTACTTGCACTGCAGCACCAAATCTTACACTGAAGGTCTGTGCTGACTTCTTTTTTAACAGTGGCTTGTATAAACTTCTCAAGTTTGTTGAACTGCAATTATGCAGTTCAGCTGGGGGAGTAACACAAATGAACCTATGCTGCAGTTGGATTTATGGTGCTCTGAATCACAAAGTTATATTGACCTTATGAGTTGGAAATCCAATGTTTGGCCATGGATGACGACAGGCTTGAAAGATAGCTTTTTGCCAATGTTCACAGAACAAAAGGACGCTCTCTCCCCACCCACCCTTGATTGTCTGAGACAGATGTATAACTTTGACCCAGTTCCATTTACTCTTGGCCTCAGGCTCAGGGTAGACAATCTCCTGGACAATCCGCTATTGATTAACCCCCTCAAATATTGTTAAATCTTATATTCCCTTTTTTCCAAATCACCCAGAAAGATAAAAGTGTACTCTTTGATTCTCCTAGTATCCTTAATGTGTATAACTAATTCAGTTAGGTAGCATTGGTCCCTAGAGCAAGTTGCCTATATTGGCTTTAACCAAATCTGCCTGTTTCAATTGGACCTTAGATACCAAGGCAAACAAGATTAGTATTGGCTAAATGGCGATATGACTTGTAATGTCAACAACCTCAGATTGCTAGCAGTTTTGTGCTCTATCTCTTGTGCGCTCTCTCTTTCTCTCAGACCCCTGGGCTGTATGTAAAATAGGGCTCTGTTTGCTAAAGTCCCCCCCCCCCACACACACACTGTGCTTCTCACTTCAAGCCACCCCTAGTTCAAATCACCACTGATTCAGGCAAATATTTCCTCCTTGGGGGCAGAACCCAACTTTCTGCCTTGACTTTAGACCAAGAGTTGCCAGTGGTACTCAGAACTCTCTAGGTGCTTTTGGGCTACAGTTTTCATTCATCCTTAATGATTGACCAGGGGCTGATGTGAGTTGGAGCCCAACGACATCTGAGGGGCACCACGTTGGCAACCCTTGCACTATACTAGCTATGCTATTTGGAAATATGCCCATAGAACTTTTGAATGAAGAACTTGCATCCTAGTGGGAGATCAACATAACCATTGACAAAAGGTGTGGAACTGGCAGACCTCCATTTAGCCCCTGGCAGCACAAAAAATGGACAGGGATTATGTAGCCCACAACATCTGGACAGTCACATGATCCCCACTGCTATCTATCATCTATCATCTATCTATCTATCTATCTATATCTATCATCTATCTATCTATCTATCTATCTATCTATCATCTATCATCTATCATCTATCTATCTATCTATCTATCTATCTATCTATATCTATCACCTATCTATCTATCATCTATCTATCTATCTATCTATCATCTATCTATCTATCTCTATATCTATCTGAATGTGCACAGTGTACACATACTCAGTGTACTCCTTTTTGAGGGAAGAGTGAATTTTAGGTGATGCAACTGCTTGACGGTGCTGTGTGCCAATACCATGGTTAAACTCTTTGCAGAAAACCCTAGGGTTTGGGGCTGTATATTCGATGCTGGCCACTTACTGCCTCCCATAGACCAGCAGCGGGGAACACCTGAATAGGTACATAAGGAAGGGACACAGCACAGTATTAGAGCATCTGATTTGAGTGCAGAAGGGCTCAGGTTCAAGCTCCAGCATCTCCCAGTAAGGGAGGGTCACTGCCAGCCATTGTGGACAATAATGACCTAGAAGGACCAGCTGCCTGACATGATAATAAGGCAATTTCATATATGGTCCTCCATGCTGGCTGGTGCTGATGAGAGTTGGGGAGGCTCAC